TTGAAGAACAGAATATTCTTTTCGTCAGGTTGATGGTTGTCAAGTGAGTCAGTTGTCATGTCAGTTGGTAAGATCCATGTCATGGGCTGTATGCCCTTAAGCAGCTATTCCATCTCACCTACAGACACACCCGCAAAGCTTCTGGAAAATGGTAGCAGTGACAGCTATCACCCCAGACGAGACACAATAAGAGAATGTAGTTGATGGGTGACCTAATCTGGAGCTAGTACTAAAGGGCCATCCTATTGCCCTCAGAAACGAAGTAATGAGACGTAGAATGATGGACCAAGTCCTATTTCTAGAAGAATGTGATTCTGTAATATTTAAAAACTCCTAAAGGATTACAAAAGAGGCAGAAATGCTCTGCCCCATTAGACATTATTTATTTGAAAAGGAAGGGGAGAGAAAGAGAGAGAGAGAGAGATTGAACACTTCACTGCCTAAGTGGCCATAATATAAGTGGCCATAATAGTAAGGACCGATTCAGGCTGAAACTAAAGGAGGCAGGAACCTGTCTGTGTCTTGCACACGTGTGACAAGCACTCAAGAACTGAGCCCTCATTTGCTTCTTCACAGCTAACAGGGATTTGGACTGGAAATGGAACAGTCAGCATTAGAGCCACTTCTGAGATACAGGATGGCAGCACCACAACTGGGACCTGCTCTAGAAATATTCCTTTTACCACTATAGATTCTGCCATACTTTCCAATGTGCACTTTCCAGAACTGACTACTTAAAACTCTCCTAGCTGTTTCCTCTGACTTTTACCTGTATATCTAAATAGTTGGTGGTTTATTTTTCCAGATTTAAATATTCATAGAAACTACTGAAAGCCAACTATGGTAAAAAGAATAGATTTAACTCTCTTGCAGTTCTAACACACACACACACACACACACACACACACACACACACACACGGAGTTCTGGTACTCTCAATTAACTTCCAGCTCTCCTTAGAATCCTTAGCAGTAAAATTTGTCTTGCTTCGTCTTTCAAATTGGCCCCTTTTGTGTTCTGTCACCTTTCTGAGGGACTCCTTCTAGCTTTTTCCTGGAAGACATCCTTGCTGGAGGCCCACGTTCTCTAGCACAATCTGTGTGGTTTGCAGCTTCCACAGGCTGCCCGAGCTTGAACCTTGAACCCCTTATCAGTGAGCCAAAATAAACCTCTTCCTTCCTGAGAAGTTCCTCTCAGGCATTTACACTGGAGTAACGAACATCTGACTGATACATTCCACATCTAAATCATACTCAGTGGTGAGAACCTGAACGCCTCCACTTTAAGGTTGGCTAGAAGACAGAGATGTCTACCCCACAAGGCACTACAAGTCCTAGCTATATCCATCTTGCCAGAAATAAAATATACAACTAAATAGGAAAAGATATAAAAATTTCTGTTTACTGACATCATAATTTTGCATATTAGAAATTGTAGAGATTTAACATATACATACAAAACCAGAAGTTTCAAATAACAAATTCAGAAAAGTTATACAATGAAAGCTAATGCATATATTTCTTACATTAATAGTCTGAAATGGAAAATAATGCATAAGAATAAATCCAACCAAGATAGTAAAAGAATTGTATGCCTAAAACTTTACAATATCATTGAAATAATTGAAAATAAATGGAAAGACATGCTTCTCTATGCTTTTGGTCTAGAGGGCTAAATATTGCTAATCTGTTTATACCTTCCAAAATCTTCATAGTCAATCATTGTGATACCTATCCAAATTCCAAAGGTAATTTTTGTGAAAACAGAAAAAAAAACATCCACAAATCCTTAGGGGCTCTTCAAGGGTATCCAAATAAATACCTCAAACAATGCTCATTTTTTAAAAAAAGAAGCTTCACTTTTCCCGATTTTAAGCCATATTACAAAAACTACTGTTATCCAAAGATAGTGACATAAAGGCAGAAATTTAGACAGAATGTAACAGAATTAAGAGTCCAAATGTAAGTGAAGCAGTCTTTCAGTAAAGCTGATAATGCCATGCAATGGGGAAAGGGCTATCTCTTCAACCAATGGAGCTGGGTAAACTGGACCAGATCTTAGCAGTTGATCACATATAAAACTTTGCTGAACATGAGTGCAAGTCCTGAATATTGGAAGTTCTGGAATTATAAAACTCATAGAATAAAAGAAAGGAGAGACGAATCCACAGTGCTGAATAGTGAGAGGTAAGAGTTCCAGAAAACAAGAGTAACCATGCTTTCAGGGGACTGGTTGAGAGAGATTTTCTATGGAGAATAGACCAAACAGACCGTGTGGGCACGAGAGAAAAAAGGACAGATTTACTGTGTGGCCATTTCCTCCTGTATCTGTACCATCAGCTATCAGATTGGCAGCAACATCTTCCCAGTGTGAGCTGGAAGGAATTGCGGAGGCTGTCATGACCCCTGCCACTGGTGGCTTAGGCTGGAGGAATTTCATTGTCCCCAGTGGCTTTGAACCTGGCCTGGGGAGCTGATAGGGGCCTGGGGAACTACTTTGCTGCATGAAGGGAGGCCAAGTTGTCACCTGCCCCAACCCCCAGCAAAGCTCAAATCACTGTGGTGGACAGCACCTGAAACCGGTCGTGAGTTGGGGTAAGAAGCCCTACTGCCAAAGACTGCCAGTATTGTGGACAGCACGTCTTTCAGAGCAGAGCGTGGATCCCCTGTGCCATGTGACTGGGAGAGTTTGGGAACAGGCTAAACAGGAAAGCAGCTTGTGGTTTTCAGCTGGGTTAGTGAACAATTGCCTGGGCAGACTGTATAAACTCAGAGCTCCCCACACCCTGGGGACAGACAACACAGAGCTGCTGGGGATACACTGCTAGCAGGCTTGGGGTCTGGATGTTGAGCGCACCTGGGAGATTTCCAGGCACTGTGATCTCCGAGTAGGCTTTGAATCAGCTAGGCCTGGCACACAGAAGGGCTGAAACTGTGTATATGCTAACCAGTCGTAACACACCCTCCTGATGCTGATTGCAGCCAATGGTATTCTGCCACATCCTCTTGAGACATATGGCACACGCAGAGTGTGTTCCCACCCAACACAAAACCCTGGAATTGAAGTGTAAGCCTTAGGCAAATCACCCAGTACTACAGACACTTTCACAGAAATAACATCCTCATGTTCAGAAAATGCAGTGATCGTTCCATGTCTAGTTGAAGGTGGAAATTTATGTTATAATAATGAGCATTGACTTTACAGGTGAGCAAAATGAAGATTATCTGCAGAATTCTTAAACCAAGCTCCAGCTCCTTCGAGGCGTGATTGTTTATCAAGGGGGATTTACTGTAGAAATAGCATGTGTCTTCCTCAGTTAGCTGTGACGTGAATTTACATGCAAAAACATTTGACTTATTTTATGTTGGCAAAGTAAGGCTTTACCATTTTTTAGTGGGGTTGCTAAGAGGAAATAAATATAAAACAGCATTGGGTAAATCCATGTGGAAAGGCAATGTTTCATATGGAAATACAAACATCATATCAGTAAACTGATAGAATTGAGCTGGAAAAATTGATAAAATACCTCAAAAATATAAGATTAAGAAAATAAAACTGTTGTGATCATAATGTATACATGCCAGGGAAAATAGGTAATCACAAGAGTTTAGTCAATTTGGGGTGGGAGGTAAAGCTAGATTTACTGTTTTCCTAAAGATTATTGTTCCAGGGCCTGATGTGGTAGCCTTGTGGGTAAAGTCCTCGCCTTGAATGTGCTGGGATCCATTATGGGCACTGGTTCTAATCCTGGAGGCCCTGTTTCCCATCCAGCTCCCCGTTTCTGGCCGGGGAAGGCAATCAAGGATGGTATGAGACCTTGGGACCGGGCACTCATGTATAAGACCCAGAAGAAGCTCCTGGCTGCGATCAGCACAGCTCCGGCTGTTGCAGCCGCTTGGGGAGTGAATCATCAGATGGAGGATTGTCCTGTCTCTCCTCTCTGTATATATAGCTGTCTTTCAAAAAAAAATTATTGGGCCCGGCGCGGTGGCGCAGTGGTTAAGGTCCTCGCCTTGCACGCTCGGGATCCCATATGGGCGCCGGTTCTATCCCGGCAGCCCCGCTTCCCTTCCAGCTCTCTGCTTGTGGCCCTGGAGAGCAGTCGAGGACGGCCCAAAGCTTTGGGACCCTGCACCTGCGTGGGAGACCCAGAAGAGGCTCCTGGCTTTGGATCGGCATAGCATCGGCCGTTGTGCTCACTTGGGGAGTGAATCATCGGACGGAAGATCTTCCTCTCTGTCTCTCCTCTCTGTATATCCGCCTTTCCAATAAGAAAATAATAAAAATAAATCCTTAAAAAAATTATTGTTCTAGTTAGAATTTTAAAAATGCATTTCTAGAACAAACACGCTTTCAGAAGGATAAGTTTTCAAATGTTACTACATCAATTTCCTTGCCATAGGATTTAATTTGTTAATCTGTAAAATATGCATAATTATAAAATATTTGTGTGGAGATAATAACAGTATACATGATATACCAGGTGCAATAGTGCAGAGAGCGTATGACTAGTGAATATTAAAACTATTTATTTTATTCTTTCAATTTTTCCTAGGCTTTTCATTTTATAGTGTCAAATGGTCGTTGTTATAAGGCAGTCACAAACCAAGTAATGGTTAAATGCTAGTTTCAATTCTACGACAAATGGAAGCAATTTTATAACCCATCTCTCAGTGCTTGCAAAAGTCTTCCATGAAAGAATGTGTCTTTCCAGTTTCTAAATAGGAAGTTCGAACAAATGCTTCCGTTTACCGCATTCCTCAGCTGGACCTGCAGCTGGAAATATGGAAGAGAAGATTGAAATGACTCAGCCATTCTGATTGTCAGCAGCTATTGAGAAAGTTTTGATAAATGAGAAATTAAAACTCATTAAGAGAATGCAGCCAACTGTGAATTTCACTAGTGAGTGTGTTTGAAGTGGCACACTGGTCAGAAAGAAATTCCTGAACGTTACCCACAACTGCTGTAAACTTAATCTTAATATTTTTACTTCCTTGTAGATTCCTTTTGCAATAAAAATGACACCGAGTGCCTCTCAAATTCTTGCTCAAGCAATTCTACCTGCAAGGCTTTTGCAGAAAACAGTTGTCCTTGCTCAAATGCAAGCAACAATTTTAACAAAGACTGTGAAGATATGAAAGATCCTTGCTCCTCCACTCCCTGCCAAGGAAATGCCTCTTGTCTCACCTCCCCAGAAGGAAGGGGCTTTCTCTGCAAATGTCCTCCTGGGTATAGTGGGGCAAGCTGTGAAACTGCCACCAGTTCCTGTGGTGTGAACTCCTGCCTACATGGAGGTACTTGCCACCAGGACCCTGGGTACCCCACCTGCATCTGTCCTGCGGGATATGCTGGAACGTTCTGTGAAACAGATAAAGATGAATGTGCCTCTAGCCCGTGCCACCATGGGGCCGTGTGCCAGGATGAAGTTGATGGTTACTCTTGCTTCTGCGTCCCAGGATATCAAGGCAGGCACTGCGAAATGGAGGTGGATGAGTGTGCCTCAGAGCCCTGCAAGAATGAAGCTACATGCCTCAATGAGATTGGTCGATACCTGTGCGTCTGCCCCAGTAATTATTCTGGTAAGTGTGCACACTTCAGTCCCAGATAATGTAGTTAACTTGCCCATTCTATAACATGGTGAAGTAGAGATGAAATGTTATGTCTGATTCAACCATTTATAAACATGTCCAAGCTAAGGACAGGAATTAATCACTTGATGATACAAAACTTTGTAAACTGTTAAAAAGTCTATGGAATGTACTCTTCTAAGTAATTACTGTCACTGTTGATATGTTTCGTGGAGTGCTTCATGATTTGAAACTTAGATTCAGGTTTCTTAAGGCTAAAAGGCAGCATCTTTTTTACAATTCATTCATCTGTTGCTGAATACCTGGGTTGTTTCCATGTTATCTACCATGAATAATGTTGCAATGAACCTGATAAATGCAAACATTTCTTCAGCATTGTGATATCACTTGCCTTGGATATATACCAAGTATTAGGAATGTTGAATGCTGTTTCTATCTTGTGAGTAAATTCTACAGTGTTTTCCAAGATCACCATCTAATTTATATTCCTAGCAACTGTGCTTAACCATTACCTTTTCTCTACACCTTCATAAGCACCCATCTATCAGCCATTCTATCAGATGTAAGGGGAGACCTCATGCTTTACCTGTGTGTATCCAGTGCCTAGAGCTGTGTAGCATTTTCTCCACGTATTTCTGTCACACTTGTTTCCTGTATGCTTTGAAATGATGTGGAGGAACCCAGAGGACATTGTGTTAAGCGAAAAAAAGCCAGGCACAGTGTAAAGCATGCTTACCTGTGTAAGCGTAATCTCAGGTACATGAAGTCATGCTTGAAGATTTAGAGACTAGAATGCTGGTTGCCAGATGCTATGAGGAGAGGGCGAACAAAGAAAATGAAAACCTTGATCAACAGGAAGAGTTTGGAGAAAAGCATGGTGACTATAGCTAATAGAAGCACATCATGTATTCCAAAAGAGCTGTGAGAGAAGATTCCAAATGTTCTCATAGAAAGGAAATTATAAACATTTGAGGTGATAGATACACGAGTTAGCTTGATTTGTTCATTCTACAATGTATGCACATATGGAAATACCACATTTTGCGCTATACATCTCTATAATAATTGTTTCTCAATCAAAGAGAAGACAGCATTAAAGTACAGTGACTTGGATTACTTTAGAATCAGTGGATTCCTTGGGGACTACTAGTTTGCCAGAAGAGAATTCAACATGTATGCATCAGCGTAATTCCTTCGCTTCTCACTCGACTCTGCCCCCAGTGCCCAAAGTCTGCTATAGCAGTCTGCTTGAAGGGCCATCCAGTAGTAGGCTTCCAGGGTTTAAATGTCTGTGTGACCTGTGAAGGAGCCAGCAAGTCTAAAAAGCACTGCAAATCAGGTAAATCATCACTTTATAAAGTACGGAGCCAGCTTTGTTCCACCTCTTGAGAAAAGAAAGTAATTGTACTTCATATATATATCTTTTTGTTTTTCTTTTTTTAAATGAAACTTCTGCTGATACAATTTTATTTTAATACTGGAGTAGCAAGTCAACAACTACCCTTGGCCTCTGTCTTCCTGGTCTCATGAGTCAGTGGCTTGTGGGGGTAGTCTTCATTGTGGCCATCCCTCTTCAGCTGCTTTACTCATCAGACTGTCCAAGCACTTCCAAGGGGCGACTGACCCCACCCATTCTTTCTGAAATTTCTTCTGCTCATCACCTTCCGGGCTCCCTGACTCCAATCCCTGAAATGCCACTCACATTAATACCATGCTTCCCTTTCCTTTTGCCACTTTTACAACTGCCTTTTGTATTTGGCATTCAATTTGCTTGCTCCTCTTACACGTTTCAAGCTTATTTCCTTATTTTGACATTTCCCTAAGTATGTTAAGAAATATAATTGTACGGAAAATATACTTCTTCACAATTTGTATAAGCACCCTCCAGAATTATTGTCTTAATATTATGCCAATGTTTTGTAAACATCTTTCAAAATAGGCATGTCTTTGTTATTGTGACTTAAAATTTGTTTATTTTCTCGCACTTCACTTACAAAACATCTTCAAGATCTGCTGCTTTGGCATCTGAGTTGTCTTCCTGGTGCAGTGAATTCATCGTGTTTCCAGTGCTGTGTCTCCTGTGTGTAGCTTTGTCGCACCTCCCAGATGCTCTGCCCCAGCCTTCTCCCTTTCCAGGCTCTGAGTACTGAGGGTAAAATCATCCTTCCGAAACAGACTTGTGCCACAACCTTCTAAAGAACCCTGAAAGCATCTCACTACGTAGAATCTAACTGTAATCTTTCACCGAAAGTCTTCCATACTTTGTTCCACACAACATCCCACCAAAGCGTTGTATTTCCTTAAATCGCTCATCTATTTATTTAATTTCTTTTTATTTGGAAGGAATAGAGTAAGAATCATAACAGATTAAATGGGGAAAGAGAGAGAGAGAGAGAGGCACACACACAGAGAATATCTTTCAACTGGTTAGTCTTTCTCTGAATGCCCAGGACAAGGCTGGTCCTACCTGAAGCCAGGGGCCGGAAATTCAGTCCATCTCTGCCATGCGGGTGGCAAGGACCTAAGTACTTCAGGCAACATCAGTAGCCTCCCCAAGTGCACACTAGAAAGTGAATCTAAGACGTGAGTCAGGATCTCTGATGTGGAATGATGATGTCCTTATTTTTCCTATATGCTTCTTGTGTCAATTACACACCAGCCAGTGTGCTAACAAGCAGAGCCTCACTCAATGTTTGCAAGCAAAGCTCACTTACTTGTTACTGAATTATTGCAATTTTAAAGTGTTTTTATGCATTTCTGGATACTGGTAGCGCATCTCTGGGATATTGATGTAATGAAGCTGAGAAAGTTGATCGTTAAACTGTTTTAATTTACCTTCTCTATTACTCTAGGCAAACTTTTTGATGGGAGAGTGTTTGTGTTAAATTGAAAGCTATCAATTACTACTTAATTACCGATATTAGGGTAACTTTTATGGAGAACAGTAAAGAAGTTTAGAAAACAATACTTATCCATGGAAAACTTGCTTAAGAGCCAAAATATGATGTCCATTTTTAAAAGAGTTTTAGCACTTGAATTTTCATTAAGAAAAACTTTTTAAAATTAAATTTAAGAAATAAGGTTCTATGGGATTGGCTTGGAATTGTTTTTGTTTAGAACAACCATATCTAAAAATCATCACACTTCATTTATGAAGTATCTTTATTTCCTGCTGCATTTTTAATGTGACTAGTGACTAAATGAGTAGATATGAGATAATTTAACATTTCATCCATTCTAATTCAGATAGTCTGAAATGGTTCTTTACATGCAAATGCACTGCTTAGAAAGTTTTACAATATACTTAAAAAAATTTTTTTTAATTTTTATTGGAAGGGCAGATTTACACAGAGAGGGAGAGACAGAGAGAGATCTTTCATCTGCTGGTTCACTCCCCAAGTGGCCACAATGGCTGGAGCTGCTCTGATGTGAAAGTGAGGAACCAGGAGCTGCCTCTGGGTCTCCAGTGTGTGGGCAGAGTCTCAATGCTTTGGGCTATCCTTGACTGCTTTCCTAGGCCTTAGGCAGGGAGCTGGATGGGAAGCAGAACAGCCAGGACTCAAGGTGGAACCTCTATGGGATCCTGACGCTTACAAGATGAATATTAAGCCATTAGGCTACTGCACAGTGCATGTGCATTTTCTTTATATCTTAATTGAACTGGATCATAAGGAATCCTATCAGTGGTCTTAACTTAGTCTTATAAGATTGAAACAGTGTAAGCATAAAGTATCTCACCTACAATGAGTTCATTTGTACTGTGAGTTATATTGTATCTCTCTCAGGCCCAATGATGGTGCCCCTTTCACACTATTACACTCCAAGTCCACCAAGAGGGTTTCTTTGTTATTATGGTGTCATTCCCTACTTGACTATATTCTTCCCCTGTTTTCTAAGAACTCAGCTAAATCTTACGTAGTTTTTTGAGTGACATATATAATACTTGCTTGCAAACAGAATTTAGATAAGAGACTCATAACGCAGTAACAATCAGGTCTATTATCAGTTCCTTGGGCTTGCTCAGCTACGAAGGGGCAATTGCAGACTTGCTCCCTAAGCCCCTGCATAGGAAGCTCAGCAGTGGTTCTCAGCCCTGACTACTCATTAACAGCCGCCTAGAGAGAGGAGAAACAGGGTGTTCAGACTCGACCTGCAGAAGCTCAAATGCAGTTGATGATTTTAAGGTATAGCTAGGGCTGGGATTCAGAAATCAAATGCACATGGACTTAATTTGAGAACACTTCTGGCACTCCACCGTCATTTAGACACAGGGAACCAGGCTTGTGTTGTGCTTTGCCTGAGCCTGATTATTAGTGTTTGTGACAGCTCACACCAATTATAGGAACCTCAAAAAAGGTCTGTGGAGCAAAGGCAAAAGCCAGACTTGAGAGGAAAAGAAAAAGACCCTGAGCAATCAGCATGGACATGCTGGCAAACTCTGACTCTGTCTCTCCCTGCTGGTGAGTGTTGAAAACCGCATTGCAGTGGTCGAATCATGGAGTGCCCTGTCCAAATTTAGAATGATCATGAAGCAGCTGGCTTCAGGAAGAGGCTGTGTCTCTCTGAGAAGCACAGTAAGAAAAGGTAATAAATTTTATTTTTTTTTAAAGATTTATTTTTATTATTTTTTCATTGGAAAGGCGGATATACAGAGAGGAGAGACAGAGAGGAAGATCTTCCGTCCGATGATTCACTCCCCAAGTGAGCGCAACGGGCCGATACTATGCCGATCTGAAGCCAGGAGCCTCTTCCGGGTCTCCCACGCGGGTGCAGGGTCCCAAAGCCTTGGGCCGTCCTCGACTGCTTTCCCAGGCCACAGGCAGGGAGCTGGAAGGGAAGCGGGGCTGCCGGGATTAGAACCGGCGCCCATATGGGATCCCGGGCGTGCTAGGTGAGGACCTTAACCACTTGCGCCACCGCGCCGGGCCCGAAAAGGTAATAAATTTTAAAAGACAGAAAGATAAGAAGGAGAGAGTTCACTCTGAATTCTC